GAGCAGGAATCTTTGCTTTGTTGTTCTAATGTATGGCATAGTTAGATGTACAGTAAACATTAGAATAAAAATTTGTTGCATTAATAAATTATTTAGTCTGCTATCCATTTGAAATATCTAAACCTCAAGAGTTAAGTTTGGATATAAGGAGTTTTAAAAAGTTGTTTTAATGGTTGAACCTTAAATCATTATTATGGTACATGCAGAGCACTGTAGATTGTATGAGAAGGATTAATATTAAGATAACAAACACAAGTTCTTATTAAACAGTGACTCATTAAGCATTATTTAATGAGTCAGTTGAAATTATAAAGTGTTTTAAAGACTAGTTTTATTTAAAGTAGTTGTAGTTAGAAATGGATTAATAAAGGAGACATGCTTTAAAATAAATAGGTAATGATGTTTATCAGAGTATTAAAGAATTAGCAAAGCAATTCATTTTATCTTAAATTACAATTAGTGTTTACACTGGTAAGCTGTTATTTTCTTTAGTATTTTGTTCAGTAAATATTTCTGTTTCCTATGTGCTGTCATTTGTTAAAATGATGACAAACTATAACAAAGGAATACCTAACACTGGACTTCATTTATAACACAAACTAATTGCTTCAGTACTATACAGAACATGAAGGGAAGATAAAAATTTCAGATATAAGGAAATAAAGGAATGGGGTAGAAAATTGCTCAGAAGACAGACATCTCAACACTGAAGTAAGAGGAAAATAAAGATACTCCATGTATTCAACAGTGTTTTTGAGTGCTTTGGTAGTGCTAGGGATACAGCAATTAAAAGGCAGGACAGGTGCTTTCTCCTGTAGCTTACATTATAGGAGTGAAAATCCATATTCTGGTAATATAATTTCAAACAGTGATAGAATTCTATGAAGAAAATGCACGGTTTGAGAGTGATAGTGGAAGAAGAGTTGGATTATTTTAGAAAGGACCATTGGACAAGTAAAAACAAGCCCTGCAGATGCCTGTGATAGGATGCCAGGTAGAATGCCAGTAGCTAGACATATAGATGTATGAGACAGCTTAGGCTGCGTGTGATCCCAGCTTGCATTAGAACAGTCTTAGAGATTTCTTTGCTGGAATTCTTGTGGCAGTCCAGTTCATGTGGAAGGTGTCACGTTGCACACTGGCAGTTATGAAAACCTTCTTAAGATAATAGCTTCACACCTCCATGAGTCAACATCTGTTGTAACTCTGTAGAAGTAGTCAAGAATCCAATACAGAGGAGCCCCACGTATGGTGTACCCATCAGGTCTGTATAGTTTTCCAGTTTCTATGCAGCCCCCTTGTCAGAGTCATTTCATCATATATAATGTTGTCTGCAGCTCCTTAATTTGAGAAGGACATATTTTCATAGAAAAATTTGGCTACTTCTTTTCTCCAAATTTTGTTGTGTACTATTCTTTGATTACTCCGTATAAAATTTTATCAAGCTAGCTGGGTATGGTGGTATATGCCTGTAATTCTAGTACTTGGAAGGCAGTGGGAGGATTGCTGTGATTTTGAGATCAGTCTCACATAATGACTTTAAGGCCAGCTTGAACTACATAATAAGACCGTATTCAAAAAACCAAAAACCAGCCAACCAACCAACCAACCAAACAAAAAAATTCATCAGGCTTTGCCATGTTCAGGGTCAAGAAGAAATTAGTGGGTAGGATTTAGGTACAAATGAATTCAAAACACTTGAAGACTAAACACACCACTGAGGTGGACTCTGCTAGGCACTTGCTTCTCAGGACTGTGGTTCTCCCATCCTCCATGTCCTCACTCCTCAGCCATCTGCAGCATCAGCACCACCTAGGAACTTGTTGGAAATTAAAATTTGCATGCTTACTAGGTCAGAAGCTCCAAGCGGTGGGGCTTGTTCTTAGATGGGTTTGCCATCTGGCAGAGAGATAGACAGGACAGTGCAGAGTGCAAACAGGATGTGTGTGTGTGTGTGCGTATTTCACTATAATAGAAAAGTGAATTCATCCTTGAATTCACTAAGAAAAACTTGGAGGCAAGGAGAGAAGATTGTTCTGGAGCACGAGCACTGTGATACTAATTAAATTCTGTGCTTAACATGTTCTAAGTATTGCACAGATTTATGAACTAAATTGACTTTGGTGGTGTGAGTTAAGAAGCTAACCAGTTCCAGACAACCAAGTTTTATTGGATTGTAAGAGCACAGTTGGTAAATGTTCTTAATGGTTTCTCGATGTGAAGACAACTTGATTTCTGTGGAGAGCTGTGTAGTTTTAGATTTTCAAAGGTTTGTTTTAAAAGGCCACAATGTTTCAGTCCAATTTATTTTATAAAATTTAGTGTTCTACTTGACATTTTCACTGAGTCCATTAAGGGCAAATTATTTATTTTTATAGAGTGTTTAGAAAGGGCAGTTTGTATACGTTGATTCTGTGATACCACTGATGAACTTCAGTGATATAGAAGTTTTATATAATTCTGAAAGTCCCCAAATAAATTGAAATTTAACTCAGTTTAATAACAAATGCTGCATAACAGATTTAATGAATGCTAATAAATTATAAAAAGTATAATAGGTGTTTTATTTACTGAAGTTTGGAAATCAAACTCTTAGGAAGAAAGTTAGTGTGACAGTGTAGGAAACTAGTGTATTAGGACTGCGATCTGTAAAAGATTGAAGCTGGTGTTTGTGGATTCAGGGCTTTTTTCAGCAAATTCTGAGTGGAATTATTTAAAAAATTTGAAGTTGAGCTCCACCTCATACATTTGAATGTGATTAAGATACAATTTTAGGTTGCCTATTTTGGAAAAATAGCAGTTTTTACTTGATTCTTCTGCTGCATTCTGTATTTATTTTTAGATCATTTTATTTTGTGCTTTTGAAAGAGTCTAAAACATTAGGGTTCGAAGTTTTTTAGATTTGGATTGTATTTTTCTCTCTGCATCCCTCTTTGAATTAGGAGAGAATTTCTTACAGTAGCTCTTTTTGTCAGCTAGTCAGTTCCATTTGTCTCATATCTCTCTCTCTCTCTCTCTCTCTCTCTCTCTCTCTCTCTCTCTCTCTTTGTGTGTGTGTGTGTGTTTACCCTTGTGACTGGAAAGACTGTCTATTCCTATAGATCCCACCTGCCTACCTAAGAGGAAATCCAGTATAGGGCAGAAGAGTTGTACTAAATCATCTCAAAGGTCACTGGGAATCAGGTGTTCTGGTTTCTCTTGGGTTAATCTTCCACTCCAGGCTCAGAGAAGGAAAGGGAAGGTGTGGTCATGTTTTCTTCTGTCTAGATGGTGGTTGACAAAGCTTTTGGCTTGCTGGAGCAGTGTTGAATGGTGAGGAATTGTCTTGAATTGCATATTATAAAATGTGCTTAATGTACATGACAAAACTTCCTTTTTATGTTTTATTATGTTAAATTATTTTATAAAATAACACAAACTTAAGTTTAAGACTTAAGTGATAAAACTTACATGTCTCACTCGATCCTAGCCAAAAGCCCAGGGAAGCAGTACATGCCTAGTAACAGTATACACCCGTCTCCTCAGACACCCACACATGTAGGCAGGTGGAAATACCGTTACAGATCATTGCTGCACTTTACTCCCCCAGTCGCACAAGTGTAGGTAATGAATGAGTCATGAGGCTGTTGATCCATGTGTGCATGGCAGACACAGGAGGCAGATGTCCTGCACTTTGCCCTCCCCTGTACCGCATTCTGTTTTTGACTACACAGTCTGAGGCTAAGCTCCATACAGTTGAGTCATGAAAGTCACTAAAATCACATAATAATATTAAAAGCATATGATCTTGTGGGCTTGCATTAATAGCTGTCCAGGGCATGGGCTGAGGATTGGGCAAGGCCTGAATAGGTAATTTCTTTAGTAGAAGTGTAGGTAGCATAGGTCAGATGGTTTGTTGCAGAATGACTGGGTAATTATAACAGGTATTTGAACCAGTTTACTCACACTCTATACTTTTAAAAACATAACACTCACATTTCTTACCTCAAGCTGTAATTTCACATATGGAGGAAAGAATTGGCAGTGGTCACTTTGGAGTGGTAATGTATTATTGGGAATCCCTTTTACTATGACATTCATCGAAACAGCTGTACAATGACATGCTGCTTGTAGTGAATTGGTGTGAGAAATACCTATAGTATTTGAGTTCTGCCTGCCTGATGAATTCCTATTATAAACTTGCTCATCAGTATAGGATTTAATGGTAACATATCTATGTTTATTCACGCAATACCTTCGGGAAGACACATGTGGAACTGGACCTTAGGTTGGCGTTAGGATAAGAACATCTCAGTTGGAGGTCAGAGGTGTTGGAGATCTAAGATGAGTAGTGTATTCTTTCACTCTATCTGAATTTTGTTCTGCATTTGAGAGTTATCCAAACAATAGCACTACAAAGTAAATAAAACAAAAGCCACAAAGTAAATAGAAGTAAAGGGAAAAACAGATGGAAAAAGTAGATCCACAGATATAATTCTGGGTAAGTATAATCTGGTGAGCTCTGTTTGAATTTTTTCTCATAATTGATAAGCTCTTATTTGATTTGTGGCTAAATTTGATTAGAATTCTTTTCCAGGTGGTACTTACATTCATATTAATATTTTATTTACTTCATGTTCTTTCCAACTTCAAATGATACAAGAGATTTTTCTGGTTTTTCTTTGAAATGAAATCTGTTCTTGCTTTGGAATGAAAGTTAGGAGAAGTGTCACTTCATGAACAAGAGGACTGAGGGTGAGAATTATTCTGTTGACAATAACCAAGATAAGATTTTTTTTGAGGTATCTGACATGAATTTACTTTATTTTAAATAATGTACTTAAATTTCATCCCAAATATTCTTGTTTGAATCTGATTGATTAAATTCATTTTTATTGTTTGATTTTGAAAAGTTTTACAAACCTCTTTATATAGCATGGATTAGGTTCAGATGTTACTATGTTATTATATAATTGTTAAAATTTTCACAGGTTTCTGTTTTCTTTTTTCCCACTCTCTAGGCGACCTCAGAAAGTGTGTTTATGTCCATTTCTACCACTACACCCTTTGCATATCGCTACCCACTTGTATATAATTCAGCATCCAGCAGAGGTAAGATTTTGTAAACTATGCAATTTCAAATAAAATAGGAAGGCACAAGGAGAAATACACATCTGAGTATTTTCCGAGAAGAATTGAAAACATCAAATCATAGTGCTATGTGTGCACCCATGTTTATAGCAGCACAATTTGTCATAGCTAAATCTTGGGCACAACCCAAATGCCCATCAAATGAGGAATGGATAAAAAAGGTATGGTATTTTTATATGATGGAGTACTACTCAGCCACAAAGAAATGTTAAACTCGAGGCTTTTATAGGTAAATGGATACAACTAGAAATGATACTCATAAGTAAAAGAAGTCAGACTTGCTTGTGTAAATACCATGTTGTCTCCCTAGTGAAAAACACTGAAAGAGTAAGATCTAAAAGTTACAATAGATACAGTAACAGGGAAGAAACTGCTCAAAGGGAAATTAAATTGTTTGATCAATCTTACATGCCTGTATCTGGTATTCTGAACAATTACTTTGAGGATAATATGCAATATAACAACCATTGTTATATTCCTATCATCTTGTTTGAAATTCAGTATTGTAATTTTTTGTTATCATTTTGCTTTTATTGTTCTTTTGTTTGCTTCTTGATTTATCTTTAAAAAACAGAAGTTGGTGATTTAGCTCAGTGGCATAAGTGCCTGCCTGGCAAGCACAAGGTTGTAAAGTTCAAACCCCAGTACTGAAGAAAAAAAACCAACCAAACAAACAACAAACAGAAGAAATACACAGCTCTTTAGTATTTCTGAAAAAGGTAGTAAATATTTACTCTTCAGGAAAAATTTTATGTATAATATGATAAGATAGAGTCAAACTATTTAGAGATTGGTAATATTTCACAAGTTTCATTTAATAGTATAGAAATTTAGAACTCCAAACATGTCATACGTAAACACAATTTTTTGAGTAAAGAGCTAGGAAAATCACTACTTTCTAAAAGTTTGGTCATACCTTCTGTTTTTTGATGTCTTTTCTTGTTAAAGTAAAAGTAACTTTTAAAATTTTATTTATTTATTTCATACTAGGGGATTGAATTTATGAGCTAGTGCTTGTCAGACACGCACTTGTGCCACTGAGCTACATCCCCAGTCCACTTTTTTAGTTTTATAAAGTGAATATGTAACTAACCTTTTCTTTTAGAGGAACAGAACAGATATGTTTGTTTCATGTTATATGTTACATTTAAGGTGTTTTTAATTAATACTTTCTTATTCTGGTTAGTTTCATATGTATGCTATTGAGTATGTGTTGTAATTCTTGATTAATTGTAGTAATGAGAGGGGAGAAAATTAATAGTAAACTAAATTACATTTAATACAAAGCTAATCAGCCTATAGTATGAATGGATTTAATGTAAACTGGAGTTAAAACTCAGTATTTAGAAACTCAGGATACCTTAAATTCAGTGTCCTTTGTAAAAAATTTTAGTTTATTGGTACATTTTAAATCAACATAATGATCACAGTCATCATAGGGAATTTGTACTTATATATGATGTGTCTTGCTTCTTTTTTTCCCATTCCTCTTTCCTCTCATCAATTCTTCTTGTCCTTATTTATTTATAAAGGCTTTGTTTACATTTTTTCTTCCATTCTTTTTTTTCTCGTCCCTTCTTACTTTTCCTCCTCCTCAGTCTCACTTTTGAAGAGGAGTAATTGTTTGAATTTCAGAGACTCTTTTTATTCTTGAAGACTTTAATAAAAATATAAAGGAAATTAATGTCTTTTTTCCAATTTTCTTCTATTGAAAATTATTAAATATTCCATTTGTTGGGCAACTTTAAAATTTATTTTTATTTTTACTTTTTTTGGTACCAGAGATTGAAAGCTAACAACACCATGCTATTTTTTTTAGTATTCTAACAATTTGGGCACAAGAATTATATTAATTGCCTCCAAGCTTACAAGAACATGATGTAACTCAAACTTATAGTGATAGCGTGCTGGCCACAGCAGTTTTGCTCAAGAGTTTTGATGGCAAGTGCTGTTTTCATTTTATAGTATATATACTCTGGTGTCTTTATATTTTTATGTTGTTCCAAACATACAATAGCTTTTAAAATGTGAATGTGTTCATTGATTTGTGGCAATTTTAATAATTTCAAATCTCTAAAATTTTTTTTACCATGATTAATTTACAGTTTAGGAAAAAATCTGTCTAAAATAGTGTGTGCTACAAATGTGAATTACGTATGTACAAGTATATCCATATTTTTTCCATGTTGAAAAAGAACTATAATCTTAATGTAACTCAACAATAGTGGATTATTTGTGCTTAACCCTAGGAAACTGTTTTTGATAAAAGGATATGCCAGTTTGATGTTGCCTCCTAAAACTGATTAAAAACCATTTGGATAGGCTCTAGAAGGGAATGTTGAGAAAAGATTTGGTAGAGCAGATCATATAAGGTGATATGATAGAGGATTTCAAAACATAGATGTATGAATATAGAAAATTACTTAAGGATAAAAACAGCAGGTTAACTCAAATATAAAAAAATACTTTACAAAAGAGAAATGTTAAACTCCTTAGCCTTTGTGAACAGTGTATATTTAATTATAATTATGTAAACATTATTTATGGGTTTAGCTTAACCACTTAAAGTGGACCCTGAGCATTGCTGGGCAGTGTGTTTGTTCATTTACTAATTGGAATGTCACTTGGGCAGATGTCATTTCAGTCGGTTCTTGTTGAATATATTTGATAAAATTGTTCGTTTTATATTTCCTGCTATATTATCTTATAAAACTTAATGAAATAATGCATGTTTTGGTTATCCTGTATTTAACTAAGTGGACTGGTAAGTGGTTAAAATATAAGAGATGAGGATAAGGAGTGGTAAAAGAAAGTTAAATCATCATTTGTCTTGAGAGACTGCAGTTATAAAATGCAGTAGTTAAAAGTGAGGGCTGGAGCCAGAATGCTTGAATTCAAATGCTTAATAGCTTTGTAAACTCTTTAACTCTGGGCAAGTTAATTAACCTCTCTGTGCATTACTTGTTTCTTTAGTAAAATGTACTCACTGAAAGATATATTTCTTTTCTGGTTTATTATGAAAATAAATGAATCTCTATATTTGTATCTATGTATTGCACTTAGAGTTGTGCACATTGTTAGCTATTATGATGCTGATAATTGATAGTTTATCTGAAATTGATAAATTAAGAAATAAGAATACATAAGTAGAGATAGAGATAAATTTTAGAGGAAATAGATAGAAGAGTTAAAGCAGTTATCTCTTGGAAGTAATACTGGAGTGTTTATCTGGGAACAGCTGTGGCACTTAAAAGTTTTTGGCACTATTTAATTGGACATATATATTTATTACATTGATCAAAGTTTGGAAGGGTCTGGTTTGAAGTCTCACAGTGATGATAAGGAGTAGAGAGCATTATGGGAAATATTGGAAAAGGTTCTGAACCACCTAAGGCCTATATGGTAGTTAACTACCTAGAGCTCTTTTGGCAACAAGAAAGTTTGCAGAGCTGTGGATAGATCCTAGGTGTTTGTGCATGCTAAGCAATTGCTCTACCACTGAGTCACACCTGCAGCCCCATCATGAAAGTTTTAAAAGTGTGTTTATTTAAGTTCAAATCTATGTTTTAATTAATTTTTTCACTACAGGAAAACAAAGTCTTGCGGACTGTTCCTCTGCTAGAAGCATGCCTCCCCCAAGACAAGTGTAAAGTAAAGATTGGTCGTCGCTTCAGTGAAGAAAAGTAAATTAACTTTTTGTGCAGTTTAAAAACAGTTCTCTTCTACATAGATGTTTCTTTGAAAGGGGTAAAATTATGCCACTAGTAGGTGGAGAGAAAAGCTTTGATAGGGAACAATAGTGAAGGTTGGGAAGATTAGAGATTGGCAGAATTACAGCTAATGAATTAATAGAGTACACAAAATTTGAGACTTTTAATTCATATTTTATTAACAATCAGTATCTTTAATTAGATAATTAGATAGGGAAAACTTTTATTAGGAATGCAGTAAACATAATAAAACTTTTATTTTGCTCGCAAAATAATAAAATTATTTTTACAAAAACCTTGTTTTTAGAGATACTGAACTTTCAGCTATCTGCAGGAAGTCTGGTACATTGATACTATATCCAGGCGCGGAAGCTGCTGATTTGGAAGAATTTATATCAGATTCTCCTGTCTATCCTTCCACAATCATCATCATTGATGGTACATGGAGCCAGGCTAAGGACATTTTTTATAAAAATTCCTTGTTCCGACTACCCAAACAGGTAAACTACTGTTTTTATAGAGAATCAATACAAATATATAGTTATGTCTGTTACTTATGTTTGCTGTGATAGGATATACACATATTTTTGTATAATAATTTAGTGGTATTTATGTGTAAATACATAGATGTGTATGATTTGTGTTTGATATAGGATATATATTTCTCTTATTTATGTATGAAATTTCAAATTTGTCATCCTTTTCTAACTCTTACTACCATACTTCACAGTAAGTTAGCGACAGGACTTCCTTTTTTTTTTTTGTACCGGGGATTGAACTCACGACCCTGCGCTTGCAAGACAGGCGCTTAATGCTGCTGAGCTAAATCCCCGGCACTTCACAGTAAGTTAAACATTTTTCTATGTTGAATTTTCCAGATATAAGAGCTGGGTGTGGTGGTGCCCACCTGTAATCTCAGTACTTGGGAAATTGAGGCGGGTGGATCACTGTTGAGTTTGAGGCCAACCTGGGCTGAGAGTTCAGGGCCAGCGTGAACCACATAGTGAGACCCTATCTCAAACCCTCCCACCCCTCAAAAACGGTTTCTCAGAGATTTAATCAGGGAAACCTCAGGATTATTCAGATTATTTATTTCTACATGCATTAATGTTTTTTTGTTAAGGACTATTATCATATTTAAATACTTTTTTAATTACTTAAATTACCTAGTTCTCGTTAGGAATGAGTAAATTTCTTTACAAATCTTTTTGTTATTCATTATTATAATGATGTGAATTTTCATTCAAGTTTTGTTGTTTTTAGTTGTGATATATTTCCTAATACTGAATCGGTCTGTGGTTTTGAAATGAGATCTACTGAGTAGACTGTCAAACTATTTTGAGGTATTTTACTGATATATGGCATTGAATTATAATGCAGTGTTTATTTTTTGTATTTTCATTATCAAGTTAGGGTATTAAAGTAATGTTAATATTCCAAAATAAATTTGAAACATTTTAATTTTTTCCTTTGGACTGGAATAGTTTAAATAATATTGGAATTAATTAATTAGATGGAACTCTTTGGAAACCATCTGGATCTAGTCACTTTAAAAATGGTAGCTTTTAAATTCTTTCAGATTCTTCTATGGAAATTATTCAGACTTTCTCCTTATATTTGGATTCATTTTAGAATAACATTTTTTATTTATCCAGGGAATTTTTTTTCTCTCCAAGTTAACAAATTGGTTGTCATATATTTACATACATTTCCAAATATTTTACTTTCTAATTATTATTTTTAATTTTATTTTAAAGAGAATAAAGCCAAACAAAACAAAGCAGAGTAAGGATAATCAGAACAGAACACTGAAAGCAATACAGGACTTCAAAACAAGATAATAGGAGATCAACAATGGCTACCATAATGTCTCTTGTTTTTTTTCAAAGTCGCTGTCCATACCATCAGACATAATAAGATCAAACAAAACAAAACAAAATCAAAACGAAAGTGTTACAGCACTTCAAAACCAGATAATAGAAAATAAACAATGGTTACCGTAATATATCCCATTTAATTATTTCTAATTACATACATACAAGCACACATTTTCTGTGAATATTCAAAAGAGGTGTCTCTGTTTTATAGCACTTATAAGTTATTTATAATGACTTTTATACCTTATTGTTTATAATCACCTTTATACCTTATTTTCACTTAATTTACTTATCTTACTTTTTCTAAGTTTAATTGACTTATAATTGTACATATTTATGGGGTATATGTGATGTTTTGTTACATGTATTCATTATGTAATGATCAAAATCAGGTTATCTAGCCTACTATCATGTCAAACTTCTATTGTTTGTTATGGTGGGAATGTATTTTTTCTTGTAGATATTTTGAAATATACTTTATAAAAATGTTGATTTTAGTCACTCTACTGTGTAAACATCAGCACTTATGTTTGTACCTAACTATAACTTTGCCCATTAACCTGTCTCTCCCTGTCCCTACGTATACCTGGCTTGTATACTAACATTATTTTCTCCAACTTTACCCATGTTGTCACAAATCACAGAATTTAATTCTTTTTTTATGGCTAAATAGTATGCTGTTAGGTATTTGTATTTTTGGGAAGGCATGCTTTGTCGTTTTGCTGAGTCTCTTTCCAATCTCTGCAATCTCCAGAACCTGGCTAACAGGAAGGCATGGTGCGTCTTCTTGCTGAGTCTCTTCCTGATCCCCTTGCACTCCCAAAGACACTTGAACCACGTGGTCAGATGTAGTCACAGCAGTGACCCCACTTCTTTGGCATCCAGTTTGTCTTACTTTCCTCTCATTGCTGAGACAAAATACTGGACACTCAAAATTAAAGGCAGGTTTATTTAGTTCACAGTTTGTAGAGATTTCAGTCCATTATCGCTTGGCTCCACAGCATGGTGACATATGGCAGAGGGGCAATAGTTCATGGTGGTGGAAAACAGCAAAAGCAGCAAGAAAGAAGAGCAAGATGAGAGAAGGACAAACCTCTTTCTGCCCCTTTTTATCTTATCCATACTGCTGGGATTAGGCAGTGCCAATTCAATCAGTGGCCTGATTCAGCAGTTTCCTACCTTTAATACCAGCACTGTGAATCTCAGCATTGCACTACAGATCTTCACACACTAGATTTCAACCACCTCCAAAATTACTCTGGCTTTACAGGATGTCTAGACACAAACCATAACAAGTATTATGCCATTTTTTTTTTATTACTGTTGCTTTGTAGTATAGCTTTTAAATACTGGTAGGCCTTCTGCTTTGCCTAAAATTGCTCTTGCTATTCTGGGTCTCCTCTGCATCCATATGAATTTTAGGATTGTTTTTATAGTTCTGTAAATTATGCTTTTGGTATTTTGATTGGAACTGCATTGAGTCTGTGCAACAGTTTTGGGAGTGTGACATTTTGATGATATTGATTCTGCCTGTTTAGGAGCAGAGGGCATCTTTCTATTTTCTGATGCCCTCTTCAATCTTTTTTTTTTTTTACAGAGCACTATAGTTTTCTTTGTAGAAGTCTTTCACTTCCTTGGTAAGGTTAATTCCTAGGTATTTCATTGTTTCTAGACGCTATGATGAATAGTATTGCTTTTATAATTTGTCTCTCCTTGAGTTATTACTGCTGAAGTTGGTTTTTCTAGGAGTTTTTTGTTGCAGTTCTGTGAGTTTTCTATAGAGTATCAGGTCATCTGAAAATAACATTAATTTGAGTTCTTCCTTTCCTATAGGTATCCCCTTTATATCTTTCTCTTGCCTGATGATTGTCCTGACTAATGTTTCAAGCACTATGTTGGATAGAATTGGTGATAATGGACATCCTAGTATTGTTCCTGATTTTAGGGGAAATGCTTTTTAGTTTTTTCCCATTTCATGTGATTCTGGCTTTTGGTTTGTCATGAATAGCTTTTGTCATATTTGAGTATAGTCCTTCTATACCTGTTTCCTTCAGGGTTTTAAAAAATTATGAAATTAGTGTTGGATTTTTTAGAAAGCTTTTTTCTGCATCTATTAATTTGGTGATACATTTTTTGAACTTCATCCTGTTTGTATTACATTTATTGATTTATGTATGTTGAACCATCCTTACTTGATCTTGCTGTATGATCTTTTTGTAGTTGTGCTGTATTCTTTTTGATAATATCTTATTAAGGATTTTTACATCTATGTTCATTAAACATTGACCTATAGTTTTCTTTTTTGGTTGGGTCTTTGGTTTAAGACGATACTGGTTTCCAGAAATGAATTTAGGAACACTCTATCCCTTTTAGTTTCTTTGAAGCATTTCAGAAATAATATTATTTGGGGTAATTTCAGTACTTTTATATTTACTTAAGCATGTTTTGTGTAGTATGTTATAATATGAGGACCCAGATTTTCTTTAAGTTGGTAGATTCTTTATTACTAAGTCAATTTCATTACTTGTTATTGGGTTGTTAATACATCTATGTCCTTTTGGGTTAGTTAAGGTTTTTTTTTTTTTTGATGTGTCTAGAAATCTGTCCTTTACTTCAAAATTTGCTCATTTGTTGGAATATAATTTTTCAAAATAGTTACTTTGTTCTATTTTTCAACAGTATCTGTTGTGATTTCACCTTTTACTTTTCTAGTAGCATTAATGTAAGTCTTTTCTCTCTCAGTGGGTTTGGCTAAGGCTATTTTTTTTTTTTTTTTTTTTTTTTTTTGGTACCAGGGATTGAACTTCCAACCTCACACTTGCCAGGCAGGCACTTATGCCACTGAGCTAAATCCCTGGCCGCTAAGGGCTATTTTATTTATTCTTTTAAAGAATCAGCTAAGTTGTGTGTTTTTTCCCTTTTTTTACTCAATTTCATTCATTTTTGCTCTCATTCTGTACCTCCTTAATTTTGGTTTAGGACTGACTAGTTGTAATTTCTTGAGTATATTAAGATTTCTTATAAGGTTATTTATTTGGTGCCCTGTTTTCTTAATGTGAGCATTGATTACAGTGAATTTTCCACTTAGAACTGGTTTTATACATCCTAGAGGTTTCTTTGAGTTGTACAGTTATTATTGTTAACATTCAGAAATTTTAAAATTTCTTCCATGACCCATTGGTTGTTTAAGAATATATTGTTAATTTTTCAGGAGCTTTTTACCTTTTCTGAAATTTCTTGTGTCATTGATGTCTGTTTTCATTGCACAGTGGTTTGACAGTATGCATGGATAGTATAATTTCAGTAGTTTTATATTTATTTAAGCATGCTTTGTGGAGTAGTGTGTGATATATTTTGGGGAAAGTACTATGTCCTACTGAAAATAATGTATACTCTATTTAGAGGGTACACTGCTCTGTATTTATTAAGTTTGTATATTCAAGATATGGCTCAGTTCTGATATTTCTTTATTGATTTTTTTATGTAGTTGGTTTATCTCTGAAAAAGTAGACTGTTAAAATTTCTTAAGATTGTGTGTTTATTTGATCTTTTAATTTCAGCAGTTTTTGTTTTATGAAGATAGGTGCTCCAGTAGTTGGTGAATATATATTTATCAATGTTAT